CACGCCGACCAGCAGAACCCTGAGCCCTAGCACGACCCTTCTGAGAAGTCCGAGAACGGCCACCCCGGAGAACCAACAAGTCTGACAACTAGACTCAAATAGCAACGGACAAAATGGTGATGAAAACCTATGAGCCAGTACCCAAGCGGATTCCAAAGAGAGCAAGAGCATAGCCTGACAGCACATGAGACGAAAAGCAAAGAACAGAGACACCACTTCCTTCAGGAGAGGTGCAAACAACTTCAACATCGCAGCCAGCGCCCGAGCTGCCGAGGCCAGCACACCGGACGAACGCCTGGCACTCAATGTCTTCACATCCTCCTCAATCCAGGCCGAAGACAGTTCGAGAAGGGAAAAGAAACGCAAGACCGAAGCATCAGTCAATGTTAATGGTTTTCTGGGAGGAGCCCCTTATCACCAAAGATTAGGAAAAGAGGGAAGGACCCTCCAGGCAACCAGGCAGGCCTAGTCGATGACCGGGCCGCGGAGACAAAATCAAGACAATCTGCAAAACCAAAGGACCCTGCGGATGACCCGGGAGACACGAACCCTGTAATAGGCCGAGAAGGGAACCCGGCCAATCCAAAGTGCGGCCACAGCCAGAGAGGCCAAGACAAAACCAAACAACACATGATGCACCCCAGGCCTGACCAACCAAGCATCAACAACCCAAGGACCGCCTCTGGAAAGCAGCAGACTCATACATCGCTAGAAAGAAGGAGATGGCTGCAACCAAACAAACCTATGACCAGGCCCAAAAGAGCAAAAACCCCTGCGCTGGAGGAGAGCATGAAGCTCCCCAACCCGACCCCCAGATTGGCCGACATTCCTGTTGGCCAATGCCAACAGGAAAAAGAGCCGAAGAAAAATATCCAAACCATAGGGGCCATAACAAACCAAGAGAGAAAAAAAAAAGAGAACCCGGTCCAAAGACCAGGACGGCTCAGGAGGCGCATCAGCAGAGTAAAATAACACAGGAGAGAGCTTGCAGAATGGTGCAGAAGTAATATCAATACCGCACTCAAGCAGAAGCGACCCCACCGGTGCCGCACAATACGAGGCGACAGCATGTGGCATAAGATGATGGTCCAAGAATGACCACGAAAGGAAGTACAAAACAACCCCATCAAAGAATGAAGTACACCTACACAGTGATAGGAAAACTGGAAGGACCGCCAGGAAACTTCATACTGCCACCAAGACAAAGCACGCAGGTGGGAGACCAACAACTAAGCCACCTGCGCCCCATACAAGTGACGATAGACTCGAGTCAGAAACACCAGATACGAGGACTTGAGGAGAAGAATGGACCAGCCTCGTACCGGGCTGGACCGATCTGCTGAAAGAGGCGGAGCTGCGGGAAGACCCTCGGGTTCAGACACTGAGCAAGCAGCGCCTAAAAACAAGGCTGGGCCAGCCACCAAGGAGCCAAAAGGACAACTCTTTCCTGGTAAGTTTCTAAGTGAGCCAGAACATGGAGCAACAGCAGAACCGGGGAAAGGAGGTACAGGTAACCCCACCTCGCCCAATCCTGCCTGAAGAATTCGACCCCAACGGCCTCGCAGTCAGGGGAAGGGCGCCACATATACCATGAGACGCCTCGGCCACGCTGACGCGAAGAGATCCACGTCCGGAGCCCCGAACGTCCGGCAGAGCAAACTGAACGAGTTGGCGTCGACCGTCCATTCCATGGACAGGGGAATGAACCAAGACAGGCCATCCGCTAGGACATTGGACACCCCCCGAACGTGAACCGCCAGGAAAGTCAAACCCCGAGAACTCAACAGATGAGTCATGCAAAACGACAAACCCCAAAGAGCCAAGGACTGCACGAAACCCCTTTGGTTCAGGCAATGAGCCACTGGGGAACAGTCCAAATGGAGCCGGATCGTCGATCCACGAGCGACCCGAACCCTCTGGAGCGACATCCACACAGTCGCAAACTCCCGCACAGTGCTGTGAGCCCAACGGTAGGACGGAGCCCACTATCCCAGACTGGTCTGGTGTGTGCTGGTCACAGAGCCCCAGCCAAGAGACGACGCGTCCATGAACACGTCGAGCGAGGGGTTCGGGTAGGCACCAAGGCACTGAACCCCCCAAAAAAACTAATAAGAATCCAGCGACTCACCAACTGACGCAAAGCCCCCGGAGGCTGAACCCAGCGGTTGCGCGTGAGGTGGAAGGGATGTCCCCGAAGGAACCAGAACAGCCAACAAAGCCACACCCAACCCAGCAGATAGACCATCATGGCAAAGTTCAGGCTGCAGCACAAACCTTTGAGCAACCTAAGCAACTTAACCTTTGAACAACATAATTATAGACTGGTATCATTGACAAGTGTAATAGTCAAAATATTGGAAAAAATAATTAAAACTAAATGGGTAGAACACCTGGAGAGAAATGATATAATATCAGACAGACAGTATGGTTTTCAATCTGGAAGATCCTGTGTATCGAATTTACTCAGTTTCTATGATTGAGCAACAGAGATATTACAGGAGAGAGATGGTTGGGTTGACTGCATCTATCTGGACCTAAAAAAGGCTTTTGACAGAGTTCCACATAAGAGGTTGTTCTGGAAACTGGAAAATATTGGAGGGGCGAGCTGGGAAAGAACCAAATCCTTGGCGAGCAGATACTCGGACTGGCTAGGGGTCCAAACCAGCCAGTCGTCGAAGAAGGCCAGAATGCCACCACAACCTGAGTAAGGCGTATGAAAACACGAGGCACCACATACAAAACGAATGGAAGACAAAGAAAACGGTAACCCTGACGCCCCACAACAAAACCGAACCAGTCCCAGAACCGAGAATGAATCGGGATGTGCCATGACACATCCACGAGCTCCAGGAACACCATCCAATCGTCCGGCTCCAACCGAAGACGGACCTGGGACAGTGTAATCATCTGAAGGAGGGGCAAAAAACCCCAAACCTGACGGGACAAGACCAGAATGAATCGGAAGTTTGCACAGTCCTGTGTCGGGACCGGAACAGGCAAGAACCCACTAGTGGAACAAAGTCGTATCAACCACACCCAAACTACTTTGACAAAGCACAGTAGAAGAGGCCCGCGAAAGAACAGATGCACCTACGAGAACCGAAATGGCATGTAGGGCGATCCTCCCGCCGAACATAACAGAAGGCACTAAGCCGGCATTACTAACCCACCACGACAGAAGAACCCCGAGCTCTGGCACGACCCTTCTGGGAAGGCCTTCCCCACGAGCCCCCCGGAGGACTAACAAGTTTGACATAGGACGGCAACAAGACGAAGCTGCCCACAGAGACTGCACCACCACAGACTAGCAAACAGCAATGTCCAAAAAACCAGCGTTGAGTGTAATGAAAAGCCATTTTCTGGGCGAGTCCCGGAGGCTCCCGGAGCTATCCATGGCTGATATGGATACCCTAACTATTTTGCATCAGTCGATGTGGGTGGAGTTCTAGGCCTACCGGGAACCACGAGCCAGAACCTGGCCCCCTCAGAGAGGCATGGGGAGCAATGGCCCATAGAATTGCACATGTGATTTGAAGCATTCTATATCTGCCATCGACCGGGACAGGCACCCAGAAAGTTAAGCACCACAAAACAAACCCCTATTCTGGTTAACAACCCACTTTTGTAGATTGGAACTATGTTAGCCTTTTTCCACATATCAGCTACAACTCCTGTAAACAGGGATGCTTGAAAAATCAGTTGAAGTGGAATGCTGAGCTCAGGTGCACATTCTCTCAGAACCCATGGTGAAACTATCTATAACAACTGCTTTGTTCTTATTTAGATCATTGAGCATTCCTTCCACTTCATCTCTAGACACCTCTATGTGCTCTATGTTGTTCTCTAGAATTCTTATTGTGTCTGGTTCCCTGAAGATTTCATTTTGTACAAACACACTTTGGAACTTTTTGTTTAATTTTTCACACATTTCCTTTTCATTTTCCATGAATCTATTTCCCATTTTCAACCTCTGAATATTATCCTTTACCTGCAATTTGTTGTTTATGAATTTATAGAAAATACCTGGTTCTGTTTTACATTTGTCTGAAATCCCCTTTTAAAAATTTATTTCTGCCTCTCTCCTCTTGCCGTGTAGTTGTTTCTCGCATCTGTGTATCGCTGGTATGTTTGGGGGCCTGGCCTCTTCCTATATTGATTCCATTTCTGTCTCTTTTGGCCTCTGGCCCTCTCGCAATTTCTGTTGAACCAATCCTTTTTCCTAGTTCTGCATCTCTGCTTTGGTATAAATTTTTGTGTGCCTTTATCAAATATTTCACAAAACTTGACATACATCTCATTTACTTCATGTCCTAAGAGCAAGTCTTTCCAGTCAAATTTCTTAAAGAAATGTCCGAGTTCCCCATAATGACCTCTCCTGAAATCAGGCTTTTCAACAGCTTCAACCTCATTATCTTCCAGATTATAACGCATTGTATACGTTATTCCCAAAAAGACCTGGTCACTTTTACCTAAGAGAGGAAGGTACTGAATGTCAAATATCTCTTCCTCGTTTTTTCTATGTGTACCTTTCTGGGTGCCTAGCCCAGGTCAATGGCAGATAAGGAAAATCCCAAACCACAGGGAAAGGGGGGAGGGGGGGGTTCCAGGGACACTGCTCCCTGCGCCTCTTTGAGGGGGCCAGGTTCTGGCTCATGGTCCCTGGTAGGCTGAACCCCATAGACTAATGCCCCACTCTAATGATTTGCACATTAGCCCAATAACTCCAGGCTCCAGAAATATCAGTCAAGCATATTATTTCCAATGTCCTCAGAATCATTAGCAAAGTCCATGTATACTGCATCTACTAGAAGTCCTTTGTTTCAGTAGCTGTTTACCATTTCCAAAAAATGTGAGCAGGTTTGTAAGGCAGGTTCTATTTATAAGAAACCTATATTGTGTTGATTTTACTAGATTGTACACAGTGATGGTGAAATTTTCTCTCCCTTACAATTTTCTGCATGAGCTTGCAGATATGAGAGGTTATGCTGATCAAACAGTAGTTTTCTGCCATTTTTAATTCCAAATTACTAAGCTCTTACAATACATGGAGAAAACTTTTTATAGTATTTTATCTGTATATCAATTAATGTCAGGGCAGCAATAACAAATAAAGAAATCTCTTAAAAATAATTCAGGTACCCTTTACAAGTAGATTATACAACCATCAAAAATAAATAAAGTTTAGCCAATATGCATTTCACAAAGACACACAGTATCCGTACTGTAATTCCAATAAGACAAAAATTTTTATTTTATTCCTTTAAACTAGTAAGGTATAGTGAGGATATGGAATACATCAAAAGCATTTTCTAAATAAATATTACAAATAAGGGTTTAAGTAGATAAATTTATGCTTTTTGCCAATCTTGTGCTCCAAGATTTGTCTTAAATTTGTTTTCTGCATTTATAAATTTATTGTGTTATATATTTTCAATTGATATCCTTCTATATATTATCAAAAAGTGTACCAAGCACAGTATATTAATTGAAGATGATTGGGAGCAATATATTTCCATTAGTAACTTGGTGTACAGTAATTTTTCCTATGATTGTCATTAAACAAATAATGTCAAAAGCATTACAAAAAATTTCCTTATGTGTTAGTCAATCGTTTAACATCCTATTTGACCATAAAGATTTCTCACACTAAGTTAAACAACTTAATATAGCATAATCTTTGATGTGGTATTTAAGAAAGATCAACAATGTACTGATGAATTATCACAGCATCACTATAATCACATATTACAATATACAATAATATGTAAATTATGAAATTTTACATACACTATAAAAATGTGAACCAATTTTGTGTATTTTGATATTAAAAGACATTATACAGTCAAGTAAAAATTGTCTCTTAACCAAATATAGAGGATTCCATGACCACTACAGAGGACAGCTGCATTTGCATTCTAATAAATGCAAGAATGAATTAACAACAAAATACTATAAATACCACTATTGCAACATATGTAGATCTACCTACACATAAACATCTATCAAAAAGCAAATATACATAAGTTCATAATTCAGAAATATTCTTTCAACAAAACTTAATACACTTGTATAAAAGTTTCATTATGTAATGATTCAACAAATTTTCCATTTACTGTTCTATATCACCATAATATCCGTGAGGACATTAAAAACAAAATATTAAAATTATGTTATCAAGCTTCCAGACATTACAAAAATACCATCTTTTTCAACTATATACTATAAAACTATATTCCATATCTTTCCATAAATACTTATATTAAAAATACAGATAACTACATATTTAGGACATCTAGTAGAGGCAATCAACATGAATAAAAATCAAATTTATTGCAATGGTCTTAAATATCTTGTCATGATTATAGAAGTCAATTTATATTTTGATTCTTTAAATTTTCAGGTATTAACACTGAATATTATTAAACCTACATAAAATATTTGTTAAATTTGTGACTATGAAAGTATATGTACACTATGAAAAGGCCATTAAATAAATGATGCATAACAATAGTAGTCATGAAATTTGTCCTTCCAGGTGCGTGTGGTTCAATGTAGTGCTTAAATAACAACATGAAGGTAGTCTGGTGTAGATGGCAATATTTAATACTGCATTCCAGTCAACAAGTGGTCAACAATATTGCAAAATATCAGTGATTTGAATTATATCGTCCCAACATTCTATTTGCTACTTCCCTCCAATTTGTGACCTTCCCAGGTGGAAGGCCTGCTGAGATTGGGTCTCCTCTAGTCACAGTATTTCGTGGACAATATTTCAATGTGTGAGCAAAATCACCAGTAGCACTGCAGAGAGGACAGACATATAGCCTCAACACAGGACACTGACAATGACCACGTTCATCCTGTTGAAATTAAGTTGTAAGGTGTATTATTGAAAAATTAACAAAGACAAAAATTAACTACTTTGGTAGTCCAGTATGTGTATCATAAAACCGCTCTCCAAATAAAGATGAATTGTCTAAGCTCACTTATCCACAGTATATGAAAATTATTCCTCACCACATAAGCCAGACATCTGGATAAGCAGAACTCTTACCGGAGAAGTCCAAAAACCAGAGTTGAATGTAATGAAATCCCATTTTCTGGACGAAGCCTTGGAGGCTTCCTGAAGCTATCTGAATTGATGTGCACTATATTAATCTGAGGTCATCAGTCACTTGGAGTTCTTATGCCTACCGGGAGCCAGCACTAGAACTTGGTCCTTTCAGAGGGGCAAGGAGCAATGGCATAACGATCACTCTACATTTAAACTATGTCATATTCTGCCAACGACCAGGGTGGGTACCCAGAAAGATAGGCGAGTCAATTCAAACAACTAGTCAGTAAAATGCAACCTACAGCCAGAAAGAGCAAAGAAACGCCTGCTAAAAGGAAAGAAAAGTATCAGAAAATAACCAAAACTGGCAACCTTGCCCCTCAACTAGTACTCCCGCTTGTTAGCATATCCACCCCCCCTCTTATAAGGGGGAGGGAGTGCCCGCCCAGGTAAGCCGGCTACTTGCCCCCTTAGTACGAGGCCTAATTTGAAGCCAAAACTGCCAACTGTAGTCACAAGTGTTAGGGAGCCTCCTGGGCTTCGCCCAGAAAATGGCACTTCATTACATTGAACGTTGGTTTTCTGGGGGCGCCCCATCGGCTCCCTGAAGCTAACTACCCACAGAGAAGTAAAAACAGGGACTTACCCATATGGTAGCAGTACTGCAGGTCTTAAGATGAAGTAGAGACTGATGGTCACGACAAGACGCCCCAAAGCACCACAAGGCCAGAGAGGGCTCGGAAGGTTCACAAGATACCTGGCAGCCAGGATGCTGTTCGCCCTCAAAAACCCACATGCCCGGATGTCAACCCAAGACATGTTCCCAAATACCATAGTGAGCACTGCATACTTCCGTATGTCATGGGCATGTGGGTAAACTGCAGGCTGGGTGGACTTTATGGCACTGCAGACAACCTGACACACACAAGCCCTGGAACAGGGGAACCAGGGAAACCGGATCCACCCAAAGAGCATCCACCATCTCAGAACCAGTGGCCTGCAGGTAGCGGCAGAAAGCCGCCACCAGACGCAACATATGATGCATCCCAGGCCTAACCAACCAACCATCTACCACCAATGGACTCCTACAGAAGCTGGCTGTCTCATTCTTCTGTCTGGGGAAGTCTCATTCTGGCTGTCTCGAGGGGGAAGGGGTAGCCTCAGACCTACCACTCTGGTGATCCATACCCCAGTTCTGAGGCTGGTTGTCAAAACACGCGAAAAATCGCCGACCGGGAGGGGAGGGAGGGAATCTGGGGAGCCTTCCGTGACTCACCCAGAAAATGGCGTTTCATTATATTCAACGCTGGTTTTCTGGGGGGAGCCCCTATGGCTCCCCAGAGCTAACTACCCACAGAGGTAAAGAATAGGGACTGACCCGGGAGGCGGTCGCCGCACACTACTCAACCCAAAGTCGAGACAACAGGCCGCATCCGCCGACCCAAAGCGACACAGGCCCGACTGGGCCCAGGAACGTGTACAAGGTAACGAACAGCCAAGGACCCTGTTTTACCGCCAAATTCCCCATTCCCGAACGGGGAATTTGGCGAATTATCCGGAACCTCATAACGGAGCCAGAAAGGGAACGAAATCCCAAACCTGAAAGCCGAGGGATTCAACGCCAAGGCATAATCCGGGTCATGCAGGAGGTTTGCCGCAGAGGCCGCCCATACTGCAGCAGGTTGGATGCGCTAAGCCGAAAACCTCCAGAAAGACAGAACCGAAGAACCCGGGAAGAAACAAAAACAAACCAGGGAAAGGGGCAGATACCACATCCAACTTGTACGCAGAGAGGGAAAAGAAAACCCCACTCCTTGTAACAGTAAGCCCCGCTCAGAGGGCAGAAAAACCCAGGCGGGGTCCAGCGGGGCCCAAGTTCCCCAAGTCAGCCCCTCCCCAGCCCCAAGGTCCTCCTCAGCAAGACCCAGGGCCGAGTCCTGCTGGGGAGGACCCCAAGCACTGTCCCTACCAGACAAGGCCGGCGCAGCCGTAGAATGCGGACAGAAGGGGGGCCCACTGGTCAGACCCAGAGGCTTCAGCCAAGGATCTAGACTCGAATGCTTCCGTCGCCACACCGAAAGGGGCATCCCCTGAGGCTGCCCGTGTCTAAAGACCAACTAACCCCTGCCCCGACTCCGAAACCCTCATACGTTTCGGGGCCGGAAGCATGGGAGGTGGACCAGAACGAACAACAGGAGGGGAAGGACGAGGAGGTGCGGACTGAACCAGGGTCGAAACGACCCCCACCCCCAAGTCCGGGTCCCTATAAGCAAAACTGGGCAGCCACAGGGCATCCGGGTGAGCAGCCAACCGAGCACGTTGCAACAAATAAAACCCAGAATGCAATGCCTGCGCAAGCTGTACCCAAAGATGATCATCCACAGATTGGGTAAATTGAGTCATCAGCAAGCAGCAAAACTCACAGGACTTCGGGTCGAAAGTGTCACCAACCCAACAGACTGCGTGATGGAGGCAAAAACAATGAGGATCATCCTGAGACAAAGGGACCGAACAACCCTCAAACTCGTATGAAGCGAGGAGGGACTCCGGGGTCACATCCATCGGACTCACGCATCCCCTAGGGGATTCCCAGGGTCCTGAGAGTTTACTTGAAGAGGACTCGCGCTCAGGTAAACCCAGGCGCCTGCAAACCGGCGCCCAAAACTACCAAACAAACTGTCTACAGCTGAACCCCAGGAACGTGTACACTCACGGGGACCAAGCAGGGGCACCACCAATTATCAGGATGAGGCCAAACACCAGTGGCAAGTAGGGCAGAACCCCCCACCAAGGCAAAAGCAAAAACAAAACCCCACAAGAGGACAACGTACCCCAAGGAACAGAGCCTACCACTGTAATAGGTGACAACAAGCTGCGCAGAACCCTGCATCCCATACCAGTGCAAAAACTGCCTCGTACCCTAAGGTAAACGAGGGAGACAAAACACCCAAGTACCCAAAGGGCGGCCGAAAAACCGAGCAGTTAAACGGATCCACAGAGGCCGACCCTGAGGAACTTGTGGAAGGTAACCCCAAGCTCCAAGGGTAGTACTTACAAGGCACCTAGAGAAGGGAACCCTAGGTGCATGCAGCCCTGAGTACTGAAGATTAACTCCTGGCTCTCGCACCCCTGGAGTACAGCCACCACACACTAAGTACAGTGCCGCAAAAAGACTGCAGCCAAAGCACACAACCGAGCTGATAGCATCAGCCTCAAGAACTGGGGGTGTGGATCGCTGGCGCGGTGGGTCTGGGCCTCCCCCTTCCCCCTCCCGGGGAGGGGGGAAGCTGCGCAGACAGCGGCGCGATGACAGGTGACGTCATACTAGTTTGGTCGTTTTTGTTTGGGGAAGTTCTATCCACTCGTTCGGCTTTTGGTTGCAATTTTCATCAGAATAGGGGTTTGTTTTGGGATGCTTACCTTTCTGGGTGCCTAACCCAGTCGATGGCAGACATAGAATGCTTCCAATCACACGGGGGTTTCTATAGGCCATTGCTCCCCTTGCCTCTCTAGAGGGGGCCAAGTTCTGGCTCGTGGTCCCCGATAGGCCCAAAGAACTCCATATACATGACTGATCCCAAAGTCTGTCATTAGCATATCAGCCTAGTAAGCTCCGGGGAGCCATAGGGGCTCCCCACAGAATTTTTTATTTTTTTTTTTATTTTTTTTTTTTTTTTGGTATGTGCCCATGGGTGATAAAGGCTAATTAGCCCTTAGCAAAACAAGGGTTAATGCGTTTGTGTTCCCCGAGCACGGAAAAAATAATAAAAAAATTTAATTGTACTTACAATTGACATAAATGAGGTGAGAAGTTGGCCAATGACGTCACGATTAATCGTCGCTGGAGCGTGGTGTGCCCGGGCGGAGTCAAGAGGCGGCGGAGAAAGAGCCAGAGTTGCTGCGAATTTATTTTCGCTGTATTATTTACAGTATCTATTCCATATTTTACACCATTTTTTTTTCACTGGTGTAGTTCAATATGTTCTCGCTTGATGATTTATTATACAACTGTTGTCAATGTATATTGTATCCACATATTAGTGTCACGAGTATTTGCACAAAAATGTCTTTTTTTTTCAATAAAATATACAATTTCTTATGATTTATTTTCACTATTTACACCTACTTATTCTGTATTTACATGTTTTTGCACCAGTCTTTGACATTTAGAGTTCATCAAGACTGTGATACTCGTCAAAACATTTGACACAGCACAGAGGGACCTGACACGCTGTATACCAAGTCATCACCATTTTATGGTTCTATTCCCTCTTTGTTGTTGTCTTGCATACAATGCTCTCACGCTGGCCTACTGCACGCTTTCCAGTTGGTGGTAAATACCTTAGATTGTGTGCGACAAAGGCATCCTTGAAAGCGAGCCTGGGTGCGGGAGCATGGTGCAATACAAAGCTCAGAATGAGCCTCTGTATGCCAGGAATTGCTTTGCCAAACTTCTCTAGTAATTGTGTCACTACAGTAAAACTGAACACACGGAAAATTCGTTTACCACCTGTTTTGACAAGATGCATATTGTAACTATTCAGCATTGTTACAACAAGGTGGAAAAACATTTTCTTGGTCCACTTCACTATTTTCCCTACACACTCCACTGCCCCCATCATCATATCACATTTATTCACCAAACGCATGTTGATGTTATAGTCCAAGACACAATCTGCCTTATAGATTATTTGTTTTGTTGTTCTGTTCACCTTGCCACTGTCCAACATTGTACAGTACCAGCTTGAATGGTGGTCAACATGTTCACTTCACGCCTGTCTTTCCACCACACTGAAAGAATTGCAC